GACCAATGAGCAAACACACCCTAGCTATGTTTATCAGAACAGGAAAGAAAAAACTAAAGGAAAAATACAAACTCCTATTCTAACCTAATTTCGGGATGAGTTGCCCATGTTCAACCCAGTAAAACAATATCCTGATGCCTAACCGACATCAAAATGCCACTCCAAGTCAGCCCCTTTCACACGGCACAAACGCGCAAGATTCACCCACCTTTTGCTGAATTCAGATGAGGAGAGCCGCCGCCATTCCGTCCTAATCTTGACTTTAAGCTGATGCTTAAAGTACAAGATCAGTTGGGAAGAGGTGAACTTCTCGCCCTCATGGAATCCCTTCTGACGCGTCGTCCAAATCACGACTCTCATAACCCCTAGTAAGCAACAGAACACATAGTGTTCAGCCTTCGTCAATTGCGGCACCACATTGCTACAAACAGAGCTAGCTTCAAGGACAAAAAACTTTCCCTGCAACATGCGAACCATGAGGCCTTCAACAAACTTGCACAACGGCACTACCGCCTTGCACCGAAAAAGGCGTGACCAATGGTCTCGACTTCCCCAGTACAGCGACGACAGTTTGGATATTTCTCCAAGCCTGCTGCACAGAGTCTCTTGCCGACCCAGAGGGCTTCACGAATCACCAGCCAGGTGAGTGATGCCTCATCGTTATTAAGGCATTTCAACCCAGGCGCCCAAAGCTATATCGAGCGAGCCTCCTGCTTCGTAAGACCGAGCTCGCCAATTAGATCATCTTGTGCGGCCCCCCTAACTAATACTTGATACAATGCCTTACGAGACAACGCCTGGGCGCTGGAGAGGCCAACCGTAGCCCGCAAGAGGAGCTTCAGCGCGCGACAACATTCACGATAGAAGGAACACTCGGCACGTGGTGTACGGCCGGCCTCCTCTTCGCACGAGTGTACACTTCTCAGGGACGGGAAATGTTTCTGGACGTCTTCTTTCCAAAAGGCGCCCTCCTCATTCGACTCGCGACACATTCGGTCTAGAAAGGTGATGCGAAGCATATGTTGACGAATCTCAATGCTAGGCATACCCAGACCGCCCTCAGAGGGATGGAGGCAACAGACCTCGCGAGATACCATAGGGGCCTTGCCTCTCCACAAGAAAGAGAACAAGGTCCGGACTAATGACATTAGTCGGGCATACGAGAGTAGAAGCACAGAGAGTCGGTAGAGGAGGATCGGATAGATGTGTGAAACACATACTTCCGCCCTTCCCTTCAGGGAAAGTCTCCTCCGAGACCACAGATTAATCGCGATCTCGGCCTTCCCTTGTACCTCCGACCAGTTCATTTCCAACTGGAGATCAGGACCGAACCAGACGCCGAGTATCTTGATCGGCCCATCCGTCCAGAGGAAAGGTCCGGGAAGAGAAACTCCCTTCCACGCACCCAACCGCAAGCCCACAGACTTATCACGGTTGATCTTGGCCCCTGTCACCATCTCATAACCACTGATCTCTTAGCTGACTTCGTTAATCTCGGCTCTGCTCGACACAAGAGCCGAAACGTCGTCAGCATAGGCAGAATACCTGGCTGAGGTGGTGGCCCCAGGCAGGGTAATTCCGCGCAGGACCGGATTCGCCTTTAACTTGCGAAGGAATGGTTCCAACGCAAGAACGTAAAGCAAGGGCGATAGCGGACAACCTTGACGAATGGAGCGAGACAATACGAAAGGCTCCGACCTTACCCCATTCACTTCCACCAGCGCACCGGGGGTCGCATACAAACGTCGGATCCAGGAGCGAAAGTCGGCTCCGAAACCGGCCGCTGACAGGACAGCCTCCAGAAACCGATGGTCAACCCTATCGAAGGCCTTGCACTGATCCAAATTGATCAGCGCGGCTTCACTGTCGACTTGTTCTAAGATCAAGCGTACCATATGAAGGTTATCCTGAATAGTCCTGCCCTTCACAGCACAAGTCTGTTCGGGGCCAATCAGACGAGACAGGACAAGCTGCAAACGGTTGGCTAAGATCTTCGCCAAAATCTTTAAGTCAGTATTTAACATCGTTAAAGGGCGAAAGTTCCCTAACCCATCCCCACCGTTCTTGTCCTTACGCAGCAACTTGATCACACCCCTGGTGAAGCGTCGAGGTAAAGACCCCTGTTTCATCCAGTGGTTGAAAATCAGCTGCAGCAAAGGAACAAAACGGGCGACAGCCTCAAGTACACTTCGTAGGGAAGACCATCTAGTCCCGGAGACTTATCCAGGCCAACCTGCTTCAGCGCTTCCCAGATTTCCGACTCTGTTATGGGACCCTCGCACCTAGCCGCTTCAGCTGCCTCAAGGCAGGGAAAGTCAGCCAAATAGGCGTCGAACTGAGCACAGCTCAGACCGGGCTCCCTGGTGAAAAGATCCTGAAAAGTAAACCCGAAAGGCCTCGCATATGCCCGCGCTTTGTAGTCCCGGTCCGCTTATCCGGCAATGTGACGCACGCTATATGTCGCTTAGCCGCGTTCCGATTTTCCTCTGCACGCAATTCAGCGGCCATATTCGTCGCCTCAGAAGACATTCTTTTTAGCCTAGCCCTAACTACCAGAGCTTGATCCTTCTTGATAAGCAAGGAGGACAACTCTGCCTTAGCTAAAACTATGTCCCCACTAACACGGGATTTAACGGCCCGATCGACCTTTTCTTCTAAAGCCGTTTGCGCCGCTAATCTATCTAGATTGAGTCGACGACTAAATACTGCTACTCATCTGACTTGACAGCGGACGTATACAGATTTTATAGCTTGGATTATCTAAGAGGAGATAATCCATATTCACAACAAGAAGTACAAGATTTTCTTCAAACATAAATGCTGTCTTGGTATGGCAATAAACTACATCTGCATCCTGGGTAAGATGATAAACTACATCCAACTCAATGCCTCTGATCAGGGGGTTTTGCTGGTTGTGGAACCACCTCTTAATTGCTGGTTTTCCCAGGTCCACCCTGACCCGGGGTGGTAGTACCTATTAGGGTCCCAGCGATGGGCAAATAGTTAACCCCCAAACTAGGGTCAAAACTCTTTGAAAGTGTAAAAATAAGTTTTAATACCAGAAATACTTTTTTGTAAAAAATTATTACCAGCAATATATATTTTTTTTTTTTAAATTACCAGCAATACATTTTTGGAAAAAAAAATATTGCCAGTAATAAAAATTTTGTTGGCATTAAATAACCCATTGAGGTTGATATGCTGTAAAGCAAAACAAACAAAAACAAACGTAAATGTCCTTTCTTTATGAGAATCATTATCTATTATTATTTACATTATCTATATTTGGATGAAAGTGCAAATTTTTGTAAAGAGATGTTTATGAAATTTAAAGATTGTGTGTTGGTGTATGGTAGGTGTGGGCATGTTTACATATAAACAGTTAACTAAGAAACAACAAAAGTTTGTGTTTTTATTATGGATAATTTTTTGTTTTTATAAAAACTGTAGGGAAGCAAAGTTCTCAATGTCTCTTGGCTATGTCCGTTTTCTTTTTCTTGTTCAGAAGTTAGGGTAAGTAAGGATAAGAATGCTTATAATGGTCAAGCTTAAATCAGCCTTGTGCTGAGTTGAAATGACAAAGTAAAGGTTTTAATTACTTCATCAGTATTTAATATAAGGGCCACTGCAAGTGTTTTGTGTATTGAAAGTTAATTATGTACAATAATGGATCATATGCAATATAGATGAACAATTCAACTAGAAAAATTGAAAATAAATGCAATGTATTGAAATACAAATTAGAGACATGTCATAATAGATGATTCCATTTTAAATAAATCAGATTTTTCTTATTAAAATGTTGAATAATTTAATACATTCAAGATTATGGATGAAAAACTGAATTTTATATAGTGTTTTGTTCGAGACATATTCACAGTTTTGGACAAAAAAAAAAGAAAAACCCTAATAATGATGTCAAAATACACAAAAAAATTTCATCCTTTAATAGTCAATTGTGTTAGCTTAATTTGCAATCTATATAACTGTAGGTAGAAAAACTGCAAATGTTGATAAGATGGCAAGGGTCACAAACCACTGCCTGGAGCCTCCATTCAGTCTTGCACCAGTTACTGAAAATATGCTCTGAATCATAAAATAAAAGATGCAATAAAACTAAGATATTATTTAATTAGAAAAGCTTTTAATTGCTTTTATGAATAAGATATATTAGGGAAACTATTGTTTTAAAAAAAATAAAATTCATAATGAATAATGAATTTTTAGAAGAATTGTTTTTGCTTTTTTAAAAATTTTAATCAAAATAATTTATAAAGTTGGAAATCTTTTAAATTTCCGTATTAATTAGTACTGTAATCTTTTAAATTTCTGTATTAATTAGTATATATATATATATATATATATATATATATATATATATATATATGACTATGTATACATAGGGTTTTTATGGGTGCTTTCTATCATCCAACATTTTCTATTGTCCAGCAGTGTCCTGGTCCCAAGGTTGCCAGATTGAAGAGGTCAAACTGACATTCAAAATAACAAAACGAAACAAAACAAGTAGTAAAAGCTAAGAATTATTCCTATTTTATATGAAGGAATCTATGTGTAAAAAAATCTTCCCAAAAGTAAATAGAAGCACATTTTTTCCCTTACACTTAGGATCAAGCCAAAACATGGACATAAGCCTGATCTGCACTTTAGTCAAAACATTTTAATTTATCTTCATATATATATATATATATATATGTGTGTGTGTGTGTGTGTGTTAGTGTAACTATTATGAACACAGAGATGTTGATTTTGTTTTACAGCTTATCAAACTTTTGCAGGTTATTTAAAACTAGAAAATTTATTTAGATGGTAAGAATTGTTTTTGAGATAATAATGATTTTTAGTGATGCACATGCTACTAATTAACCCATAACTGGGGGGAAGAGAAGACGTTGATTCATATTTTTTTCCAATGGTATTTCTATGGGCTCACCTATTTCCAATTCTAAGCCATTATTTGTTACACTGCCTGCACATCTGAGCTTACAGCACCTGTTATTCCCAAGTGGTCACTCATCTAGGTACTGACTAGGCTCGATGTTGCTTAACTTCAGTGATTGTATGAGTGGTTTTTGGCAAGTTAAGTTCAAATTCTAGCCAAGTCATGTTGTACCCTTGGAAAAGGCATGACTCCTACTTGAACTCTTGCCTTTAGTGGCAGCCAGTTGAATCAAATAAAAACACTGGATTCAAAACCCCAATAAATAATAAGTCAGATTGGCCTTTACACTGTGGTAGGTCAATCAATCTATTCACCTTCAGTACTTGTACATCAAGGCAGCTGGATCTTGTTTCAATCTCAGTATTATTTCTTGCTCATTTCTGGCATTGCATTTTTGGTTGATTGACATGCTGTGATATGCATATGAAATACAGTGAAACCCCTGTATTTGCGGGGGTTAGGGATAAGAACCATCCACAAATAGTTAGAATCTGTGGATATTTGTAACCCCCCCCTAAAAGTACTTATAAGTAACTATTTTGATTGTTAAAACTCCATATGCCTTAAACTTTCACCCTAAACATTTTAGAGACATTTCAGACTCTTTTTAAAACATTTATGAAAAATAGTATTGTTGACCATACACTTAGTGTAAATTTTCTTTCATACATTCAATAAACGTTTTTAATTATGCATAGATCAATATAGCCATTGAAAATACTGTATAAAATATGTGTAAGAAGACGTAAAACTGTGACGACGCCCCCAGACTTAGCATTTAAGACCCCAGCCAGAGCCCTTAACAAAGAACAAAGCCTAAGCACCATGCATGCTTTGCATTTGTTTTTTACAATGAAGATATACAATTCTGCCAATTTTTTACCATAAAAATGTTTTAACTCACTTAAATATCAGGAAAATAATACAAGAATATTTTAAATATGGTCTATTGAAAAAATACATGAAACAAGGAAGTTGTCAGCGAATAATTTGTACGTATGTTCTTCAGAAAAATATTCAGGCTTTCTGTGAATAACAAGTACATATGTTCTAAAGAAAAATCTGCGAATGTGTGAAGCCACGAATGCTGAAACATAAATAGGCAGGGGCTCACTGTATTTCCATTTTCTTCAATCTACATAAGAAATTTAGAGTTTTACTGATTATTACATTAAAGTAAACTTCAGTAAAACTTATTGGATGAATCTAAATGAAGAAACACTGAACTTTTCATGTTACCCTGAAGCTTACCAGGTCCCAAAATTCAGAAATAAATAATTTACCCTGGGGGTTACCAGGTCCTAAAATTAAGAAATAAATGAATTAGAATGTCTAATGGATTCCAATTTGTTCATATTTGATATTTGTGCACCAAGTACAGGACTTATACAATAACAGTGTTGTTTGTTTACTCATTCCTGGCATTGCCTTTTATAATTTTTTGGTGGAGGGATTGACATACTGTGACATGTATTTGAAAGTTCCTGTGAAGTTTCACCTTTCATATTCTTCAATCAACATTAAGAAATATTTAGATTTATTGATTATTAAAATTAAAGTTCATTAAAATTCATTGGATTAAACCAAATGAAGAGAAACTGAAATTAGCAGAACCCCAAAATGTTGTGTTCAGGTTTTTAGCCAAAAATATTTTGGGAAATCTTTGTATCGATTGAATCTCTTTTTGGTAGTAACATCTATAGAAATCATTTTCTGATTTGTAATAATTAAATATGACAGTATAGTGACATGGGGCTTAGGGGTTAAAATGAACAGTTGATTTACCCATGCCCAGAATATTAATGAAGAAAGATAATGATGAGTAAATACATGAGTAATTTTAGCAAAACAAGATAAGGAGTAGTGTCAGTAACTTGTTTCAAGAAAACAAATCCAAATTCTTAAAGTCCATAGTTTTAACATATTGTCATGAAGAAGAAATGTTGATACAAAATAATATTAAAACATATTTAAGACAAATGTAAAAGAGTTGGTTGCTCACCGAAGGGATATATAGTTTGGATACATTCAAAAGTAGATGAAGAGAGATAGTTCGAAATACTTAGGTTTCTTGCATTGATGAGAGAAAACTCTTTGAAGTGTTGTGTGCTTGTTAGATGCTAATAATGTAATTGGTGAATAATTTTACACTGGTGAGAACTTCAATGCTGGTTGTGAGGAATGGAAACAAAATCTTTCATATGACTTTAGACACTCTTCTCTGATTAATTTAACTTTTCTCCTCATTTTATATAAGAAAGAATTTTACATAAGCTCGCTACTTTCTTTTCTTCTCAGCTGACAAAAGCTAATTTCTGTGAAGGCAAAGTTTTTCTTAGTCCAAAAACTATTTCAGATAAGCTCATGAATTCCTTTCCTTCTTTCTCAGTCGTCTGAATTTGAAGGGAGTTATTATTTTGTACTCACTACAAAAGTATATTTTAATATTGAGGAACAAAAATGGCAGTGTGTTGTTCAATAGAAAACTAAATGGTATTTTTTAATTCTTTATTTTAGTTCCAGCAAGTAAGATGTGCCCAAGCAGCTGCAACACTCCAAATCCAGGAGCGTCTCAAGAAATTCACTATCTATAGATGGGTAAGTGGATAGGTTTTTTTGTTTTTTTTTATTTGGAAACGAGATGTAAACTTTATTAATGTGGGAATTTATGAGATGAAAAATTATCATTACTCTATGCTTTGCTCAACACACCAGAATGCCCATCATTTTGATTGTTGTACACCCAGCCTTCTTTAGCTGTCTCATGTTGTGCTCCATAAATTTAGAATTTTGAACCAAAATCCAAAGAAGAATCAACAATATTATGCATCCTGACCTGGCATCTAGGCTTCAGTCACTTTCTCACCACTGTGGTGAGAAAGTGACTGAAGCCGAGATGCCAGGATAAGGCTCTTCGTCTCATTGGGGTTTATGCGCCCAATGTCCTTTCTGAGCGGCCTGCTTTGTTTCGACAGATCGAGCCGTTTTTGACGACATCACGTCGGGTAGTGTTAGTGGGTGATTGGAATGCCGTCCTTGATCCCGATATAGATCGTATAGAGACAAATTCGGGTACTAACAACCGGGACGTGAAACCATTTCGGGACTTTATCGACAGGTTTGATCTTGTCGATAAGTACCGGAATGAACACCCTCAGGAGGTAGTATGGACTAATAGTGGCGGCTCAGCTAATCTAGACCGAGTCTTAGGAGAGTCGATGTAGGCCACTTAGGGTGTCCAAGTTTCCATGAGATAGTTTATTCGGATCATAGGCTTGTCCGGGTCCGTGTAAACTTAGATATGCTTAAGGTTAGGATGGCTGGCTACTAGAAATTAAACTCATCATTATTTGGTAAGCAAGCTTTCCGGGACCAGCTGCTTCTAATGATACAGAGGGAACTGACGGAAGCGGTTGTGGGAAATGTCTGGTGGGATAATTTAAAATCCAAAATCAGAACGTTTGCTGCTGATTAGAGTCGTCGGCTCAATCTAGATAGATTAGCGGCGCAAACGGCTTTAGAGCAGAAAGTTGATCAGGCGGTCAAATCCCGTGATAGTGGGGACGTAGCTTTAGCTAAGCCAGAGTTGGCCTCCTTGCTTATCAAGAAGAATCAAGCTCTGGTAAGTTAGGGCTAGGTAAAAAAGAATGTTCTCTGAGGCAACGAATATGGCCACTGAATTGCGTGCAGAGGAAGCTCGGAATGCATCTCGGCGACATATCGCATGCGTCACATTGCCGGATAAGCGGACCATGACAACAGATGTCAGGCTTTTCGTGACTACTTTCAGGAGCTTTTGACCAGGGAGCCCGGTCTGAGCCCTGCTTTGTTAGACGTCTAATTAACTGACTTTCCTTGCCTTGGGGCAGCTGAAGCGGCTAGGTGCGAGGGTCCCATTACAGAGTCGGAAATCTGGGAAGCGTTGAAACAGGTTGGCCTGGACAAATCTCCGGGACTAGATGGTCTTCCGTACGAAATGTACTTGAGGCAGTCGCCCGTTTTTGTTCCCTTGCTGGCACTGATTTTCGGCAACTGGAAAGAAGCAGAGGTCTATACCACAACACTTCACCAGGGGTGTGATCAAGTTGTTACGCAAGGACAAAAACGGTGGGGATGGGTTAGGGAACTTCCACCCTTTAACTATGTTAAACACAGAGATCTTGGCTAACCGTTTGCAGGTTGTCCTGTTTAGTCTGATTGGCTCGAAACAGACTTGTGCTGTGAAGGGTAGGACTATTCAGGTTAACCTTCATATGCTACGCCTGATCATCGAGCAAGTCGACAGTGAAGCCGCGCTGATCAATTTAGATCAGTCCAAGGCCTTCGATAGGGCTGACCATCGGTTTCTGGAGGCTGTTCTTTCGGCGGCCGGTTTCGAGCTGTACTTTAGCACCTGAATCCGACTTCTGTATGTGACTCCCGGTGCGCTGGTGGAGGTGAATGGGGTTGGATCGGAGCCTTTCGTATTGTCTCGCTCCATTCGTCAGGGTTGTCCGCTATCGCCTTTACTTTACTTTCTTGCGTTGGAACCTTTCCATCGCAAGTTAAAGACGAATCCGGTCCTACATGGAATTGCCCTGCCCGGTGCTACCACATCGGCCAGGTATTCTGCCCATGCTGATGACGTTTCGCTTCTTGTGTCGAGCAGGACCGAGATTGACGAAGTCAGCAAAGAAATCAGTGGGTATGAGATGGTGACAGGGCCAAGATCAACCGCGATAAGTCTGTTGGCTTGCGGTTGGGTAGGTGGAAGGGGGTTTCTCTTCCTAGACCTTTCATCTGGACCGGTCAAGATTCTCGGCGTCTGGTTCGGTCCTGATCTCTAGTTGGAAATGAATTGGTCGGAAGTGCAAGGGAAGGCCGAGATCGCAATTAATTTGTGGTCTCGGAGGAATCTTTCCTTAAAGGGGAGGGCGGAAGTATGTGTTTCACACATCTACCCAATTCTCCTTTACCGACTCTCTGTGCTTCCACTTCCGTATGACACTTTACTGGCGTTAGTGAAGCTCTTGTTCTCCTTGTGGGGAGGCAAGGCTGCCAGAGTCACTCGGGAGATCTGTTGCCTTCATCCATCTGAAGGCGGTCTGGGCATGCCGAGCATTGAGATTCGTCAATATATGCTTC